GCATATGCAGCATCCGTACATGCAGATATGCAGCCATGATTTCCTCAATTGCCCCATTTTATTGATTGACCGACTGATTGATTGATTGATGGATTAATCGATACTTTTATGAGCCACACGTACCCTTTTCCTTTGACAGGAACTCCGCGGGACTCATATTATCCTTTTCCATTGTTGATATTGAATACTGCGTTTCATGATGCAATGCAAATAGATCTCTTTCTTGTCTTGTCCTTTTTTTTGACCGTTGCAAGCCTATCTTATGCTATGCTTCATCATGCTATATATGCTTCTATTGTATCACCTATGGTTTATCTGGTTTACCACTACTACCAAGACTGGAAACATAACGGGCTGAAGAGATGCAAGCCAAATCCAAATCCGAACCGATCGAACATGACTCGTGTATGTGATGAACAATAGTAAAACACTGGTGACGGTAACTGTAAAGGTAATGGGTAGGGGGGGAAGAAGTGAATATTTACAGTGTAGATGTGAACTAATACATGATAGATACTGGGTACAGCACAAGAACATAAGGGATCAAAACAGAACAGACAAGTAGTAAGACAGACAAGTAACCGGGTACACAATCTGGGTATCTTTCCTTCTCAACGCGCACACAAAAAGCCCGAACCCTGAGAGATGACGATAGATCCAACGAAACAGATAACAGATATATCATCAAAAGTATGAAAGAATACAATGATAGTAAGATGAAGAATAAAGTGAAATGTGAGATAATGAAGAAGAAATGGAAAGAAGAGAGTAGCAATTACTCTTCTGGCCCCTGCTCCACCATAGACGCCAACGCCGCACTCACAAGGCTCTTCCGCCTCAGGCCTTGCTCGTTCTTCTTGTGCATATCTCGCGACGAGCAGTGGTAGCTCTTCTCGATGCGATGTGACGACGCCAACGCACTGACGCTGCTCTTCCGACGTGCCCGGGTCTCCGGACCAGCTGATTCCGCTGACGCGGCGGAAGAGGCCTGGCCACGGAACCGATTCCGCGACAAAGTCAGAGCACGTCTCCGCGGCGAAGTCTGTGGCGGTAGCGAACTGGGGTGATAGTCCTCTTCACAGATGGAGTCCCTGCACATGGCCGAACGCAAGATCTCGTCATCGGACACCAGAGCACGACGAATCGCCTCGACATCAGACTGGTTGCATTGTAGGCGGGAGATCTGCTGTCTTTGGGCCCGGACGGTCCAGGCGTCTGACGATGGAGCGGCTGTAGTGGCGTTGCCGTTCAGATCGATGTTGTCGGCTGCGGGGAAGTCTGCGGGCACGGAGGTAGGGCTCAGGAACGGCGAGCAGGATTGCGGAGAGAGAGAACCCGAAGTCAGGGACTCGTCATCGTGATCTGTGTCTGGCGGGGTGAGAACGTAGCCGGGGAACTTGGACGAAATGCCCAGATCCGATGGCGTTGGAGAGGCCGGGCGATCGAAGCGACCGGCTTCTTCAGCCTGCAGGCCGTTCGGGTTTTGGAGAGTGTGCTCGTGAAGTTTCCGCGTCAGAGTGCTGATAGAGAGCCGCTTATGATCGTAGGCAGAGAAAGGCACGGAGGTGGGTGGCTGCTGTGCGGAGCGGAAGTATGAGGAGCGAGAGCGAGACGTGGTCCGGGGGAAGCGATGGGAGCGCGGAGAGGGACAGCGCGACGACATGGGAGAGATGAGGGAACTGTCGCTGTCGACCATGAGACGGTCGTCGCCATCGAGCGCCAGGCGCGAGGGCCTGGTGGACGACGGAGACGAGAAGGAGAAGTCCTCGAACATGGTGACGGAGTCTCTTTGTCTCGGGGTTGGAGTCGAGACGGATTGGAGGATCCAGATGACCTATTTAACAATATCTGGCGAGAGTGCGAGAGAACCCTGTGAGGCCTGTGTTATCCGGACCAGATGGATGGGATGGAGATGGTGGTCGACGGATAGGCTATCTGCACATTAGGGGAGCCCTGGGAGGAGGGGAGGGAAGAGAGGGCGCGTTCCCGAGTTGCAATATAAGGCGAAATCGCACAGTGGCCAATTCTCGTATCGGGTGGGTTCAAAAAGGGACACGGGGTCTAGTCTGGTAGACGGAAGGGCTAGAAAAGGGAAACGAAAATTAGAAATGATAATTTCACTAAAGAAATAGGAAAAGCAGGGAACGGATTAGGCACGTCGAGTGACGGTCGAACCTTGGGATGAATCTGGACGGACGCCGTGGGGAAGCGCCGCAGGGAATCAATCAACGGCAACGATTGGGGTGTGTGGATCAAAGTAGTAGGGAAAAGGAGAAAGGGGAGAGAGAGTTGAAGGGAGGACGAAAGTGAAAGAAGTAGGGAATCACCGACTGGGGCATGTTTCCAAGCCATGTTAAGAAGAAAGGAGTAATGTAGGCCCCCTTTTCATTAATCACCATATTATTGTTGCTATTGCTTTTCTCGCCATGGCTGGAGGAAGTGGCAGTTTGTATTCCGTGCACTTTTGGGCCAAAGAAGTAAGAAGAAAGAAAGAAGTGAATAATAATTAATTCTTTGCTGCCCTTCTAGAATTCCAGTTTTAGTCTAATCCCTGTTCGGCTCTAGCCGGCCATGACTCAGCCAGTCCGGCGTCTCTTCGGCTTCTCCTTCTTGTTTCTTCTCTTCTCCCCTCCCTTCAATCCCTTCATCTACAAAAGTACAAAGTAATCTCCCCGACGGCTGCTTCTTCCATCTGTCATCCATTTGTCATTCTATCCTTGATTGGTGATTGCTAAATTGTGGCTTGCATTACTCACTGTCCTGCAGTATGGTACACATGAACAACACGCCCTCCCAAGAGGCAAGATGGCAAACACACCCGGGCGGGAATCGCCACCAACCAAGTTCACCATCCGCTGGCAAATCCACTCCTCTAAACCTGGATAGGCTCTAGGGGCTACCGGTTTGATTCCACCGACCCATCTCCAAGTGGTCCCCCTCCAAGAGTCTCCGGCGTTCTCGCCACCCAGGCCGGTTAAACTTTCCACCAACTCGGAATCTCACATTTGTCCTGCCAACCTGCCAACTCTATCTAATCAGCCTCGGTGAACTAGCCGCCGTTATACGTTGTCGCTAACCACCGTTACTATCGACACAGTCGCAAGCCTGTTGTGGATGAGACCGTGCCATGGTTACTACTATAATGACTGTCCTTGAGGGACTGTTTAAGCTCACCCGTGACAATCTGGTTCCTTGATCGTGAGCCACGACCGTAGTTGATATATGTCGATCTATACCGGACTTTCTCCCCACAGTCATTATATTATACCCCAACATAGCCCCGGAATTGAAGATATGGCTCTCAGGTAATACAGCAATTACGGTGTCCAGTCTCAAGCACAGAATGACACCATGTGGGAGTTCTTCTCGCAAAAATCCATCTTCGTCACCGGAGGCACGGGCTTCTTGGGCAGCGCATTAGTTCTGCGGCTGGTCTCGCAGGCTCGCCCAAAATGTATATATCTCCTCTGCCGGGGAGGCAAGCAGTAAACTCTACCACACACAGCCCCAGTAACGTGTAAATGAATCCCTGTGCTGATCTCCATCTCTTTTCCAAACAGCCGGGCCGTACAAAAATGGCAAAAGATCCTCCCCAAGTCCATGTCCGACACGCTAATCTCGTCGGACCTGATCACCTATCTGGACGGCGACATCCAAGAGCCAAATCTAGCCCTTCCCTCAACCTCGCTTACACTCCTTAATACAACCACCGAGATCATCATCCACGCCGCCTCATCCATCAACCTCGTGGACCCGCTCCACAAACTATCCCAAAGCATCATCGGCGCTACCGAACGGCTTGCCCACTTCGCGCTATCCTGCCCCCACCTCCACCGCTTCGTGTACATTTCCTCTGCCTTCGCGAACAGTCATCTCTACGCGGAAGCCTCCTCCCGGGCCGCCGTCGACATCTCGGTCCGAGAAACACTATACCCGCTTCATCCATCATCACCATCATCAGCATCCCCATCCATCTCCACAGCAACAATCTACGAAGAGCTCAATCCCGAGGCACAACAACGGAATATGAGTCCCGGTTTCACGATTTCCCCTGGCCCTACGCCTATGCCAAGCACCTGTCGGAGCGGGTCCTCCTTCAAGCCTTCAACCAGAACCATGATCAAAGCCAAAACCATACCCATGATGCCTTCCCCAACAAGCTCCTCATAATCCGGCCATCCATCTTCGGCCCGGCCCAGAACTTCCCTTACCGAGGCTACAGCGTACCCTTATCAACACCACTAACCACCATAGCAACAATGGTATCCCTCACCCCCTCAATCCGGTTCCACGCCGCGACACGCGCCAAGCATCCCGATACGGAAGTCACCGCGGACGATGTGCCCGTGGACGTGGTCGTGGATCGGACGCTGTTTCACCTCGCCTACGGGAGTAATGGCATTGTGCACGCCGTCTGCGGTGAACGCGGCCGGTACGCGTTCAAAGAGCTCTGGGACGATGGAATGGCGGTGCGGAAGATGCCCTGGCGGCTGAGGATGACTTGGTTGGATGTGGATTGGCATTCTCCGCGGTTGCATTATATCGCGAGGCTGTTTGTGCTTTATGGGATGTCTTTCAATTTCTCCGGGGAGAAAACCGTGGAGCTCTGGGACCGGGTCCCTGAGGATCAGAGGCAGGGGCTGAATGTCTTTAAGGACTATAGTAGGGGTTTTTGTTTGGTGGATAGGAAGGAAGACATGCGAGTCTGCGCAAGAGCGCTTATGAGCTATTACGGATATCCGAAGTGGATTGGATCGTTGCTCTAGAGAGTGAGGAGGAAAGCGATAAATTATTAGGCGCGTAGCTAGGTAAGTAAGTAAGTAATGAGTAAATAAGCAGAACCTCTTAACTCTAAACGAATCAAAGAACCAAAACACTAACTAGTAACGAAATCAAAATCAAGTACCAACAATTTTTATCACTCTCGCCTTATGGTAGTATTACCGCCACCACTTACTCTTCCGCGACAATCGACATGACACTCAACTATCAAGCATCACCTAGCGTCCGAGAAGCCCACCCAGCAAGCCCGAAACACTCGAGAGCAACGAGCTCACAGGGTCTGAACTTTTGCTATCACCATCTTTATCTTTGTCATCATCCTTGTCATCGTCTTTGTTTGTAGTGGAGCTGTTGTTGTTGCTGCTTGTTTCGCTGACATAGATGCTGGAGCCGCTGCCGGTGTTGGTGCTTCCATTGTTGTCGCCGCTGCTGCTGTCGGTATCGATTTCGTTGGGCTTCTGACCTTTCGAAGAAGAAGAAGATGAAGAAGAACTCTTGCTATCTGAAGGAGGATATCTCTTAGCTATCATTCATAGTTATGCCGCTTGGCATCGGGTGTGGGATGAATGATCATGGCTGGGGCTAGTGGTTGGGGCTGGTACTGGCATAGCCCGACACCCCGTTGCTAGAAATTGCAAGCGAGATGCTGGAGGTTGAGCTTGTGCCTGTACCACCACTGCCGCTGCTTTCATCCTCTGTTGGGGTGACCGTGATGACCAGGCTTGTGCCTGAGCCAGTGTTGTTAGCGCCGGTGCTCTTACCGTTATTGTTGCTGCCGCTGCTTCCACTGCCTCCAGAGCCATTGCTGCTTCCAGAACCGTTGTTGCTTCCAGAGCCGTCACTTCCAGAACCATTGCTTCCAGAACCGTTGCTTCCAGAGCCGTCACTTCCAGAGCCGTTGCTTCCAGAACCATCATTGTTTCCAGAGCCGTTGTTACCTCCAGAGCCGTCGGTGTTCCCAGAGCTATTGTTGCTTCCAGAACCATTGCTGCCTCCAGAGCCATCATTTCCAGAACCATTATTGCTTCCAGAGCCATCATCGCTCCCAGTACCAGTACCTCCATTTGATCCGGTGATTCCAAGGCTTCCAGTCACTCCAAGGTCTCCATCATCACCATCAGAACTGCCGGAGCCATCGTCGTCGTCATCGCTGCCTCCGCCGGAAACCTGATCAGTGGCTTCAACATCTCTCTTTTGAGGGCAGCCGCCTCCAAGGGCCAAAAGCCCAACAGACTGCTCTTCCTGTATACTAGTCAGCACAACATGAACAGCAATATATACCGTAAGGGTGAACGTACAGTTGCGGGAGCCCTAGCCTGTAACTCAACAGGGTGAGCTCCAACCGGGGAGGCAAATAGCGAAGCACTCGATAGTGCCAGGGCCAAAATGGCTGTGTGTGTATGAGAAGGCATTGTGCCTAGGGAGCAATAGATTCAAATCGAAGATGTAGACAGGAATGTTCGTTTTACTTGAAACTGGAGGCCTCGGCGGAGACCAGAATAATCCCAAGACGAATTCGAAGCTGAGGCGTAAAAGTGACCGGGATTAGTTACAAGTCTCTCAATTTATAGCATTTTTCTAATGACCTACAATATATCATGAAGGTGCCAAGATTTCCCGAAACGGCTTGAACAGACTAGGTGAAGCAACGTACCAAGAGATTTTTTGTCACACAGGCAGTGGCTACTAGTCGCTGTGATTCGAGATATAGATGTACCCTTAATTCAGATTAACTGGACCTCCGTGCACACTTGAGGTCCCCATGCAGCGCCGCTAGCTTGGGCCCAGAGGCGTGTGTGGGCTAAAGTTACATGGTGTAGGAGGGTTACCCACACACCAATCCAAAGTAGTCGACACCACTCAGAATAAGCTTGTGATAAGAGCTTGGCACAATAGACCTAGCTCTGGGCCCTAAGTGTACGAGAACATTTTGCTACTGTGTCGGCTCTAATCTCCAGTCCCACATGATTGGATGAGTGCTGTTAACATCTTAGACAGGGACGGGTCTCGGGAGAACGGTAGCATTCTTTGCTATTGCTTGTGTAACAGGCATCGCCAATCAATCGCACCTCCTCTACTGGGAGGTTCAGGCCTTCTCCTTGTGGCGCAATGAGAGAGTCGAAAAGGTCGTACAAGACCGACAAGACCGAGGGGTTATGACTGTCTATATTATATGGTATTATAGTGAGTGTGTTGCATCGATCATTATCCCACCCGGAGCCAATGTATAGCAGTGTTCTGGTCCCGGAGACGTCGCCTTGAGGTTGCCTTGCCGGCCATTTCTATGGAAAGTTGCTGGAAGAATCCTTGGGCGCCCCCGGTCTGTCCTGATTTAGTAAGGCTGATGGTTGCAGAATGCGGATAAGCCAGCATTCTTAACTTAATCCGGGAAGTTTTCTCCGTAGGCGATTTAGGTCACGACGCGTGTGCTCCCTTATATTGGTAGTCTAATTGCGAAAGTGTGGACAAGTAGAGAATAGCTGACGAAGGGGAGTATACGTTAAGAGTCATTGTAGCAACAGAATAAGTTGCGAGAAGTTGTGGACGAGATGAAGCCATTTGAGTGGTTGGAGAGTCGTTGTAGAGAGAGGAGTAAGTACTGACTACTAGTACGGAGTAGTAAGAAGGTTGGCCGGGAAGGAGCGACTCCGACTGGCTTCCCCGCATGGCTTCAACTCGGCCAACTTCTTTCTTCCTGGACTCTATCGCCTCGCCCTCCCTTCACTCACCCCATTCAGACACCCTTATCGCAGATACTTTAATCTTACAATCACAGTCATGGCTTCTCTTCTTAAGAAACCATTGAAGCTGGCTCTAGTCCAACTGGCCGCAGGTGCGTACGATTGCTATCTCACCCCGTCCCCGCCTCCCCTCGCTCTTTCTCAAGCTGGCCCGAATTGATTGCTGAGAGTTAATAATCTTTAGGCGCCGACAAGACAGTAAATCTTGCGCATGCTCGCTCCAAGGTTCTTGAAGCCGCCAAAGCCGGTGCCTCTCTTATCGTCCTTCCGGAATGTTTCAACTCCCCCTACGGTACCCAATACTTTCCCAAGTACGCCGAGACATTGCTTCCTTCCCCACCCACCCAAGAACAGTCCCCCTCCTACCATGCGCTTTCGTCCATCGCCGCAGAAGCCAAGGCCTACTTGGTGGGTGGTAGCATTCCGGAACTTGAGCCGGCCACGAAAAAGTACTACAACACCTCGCTGGTCTTCTCCCCCACCGGTGCCTTGATTGGAACCCACCGCAAGACTCATCTCTTCGATATCGATATCCCCGGCAAGATCACCTTCAAGGAGAGTGAGGTCCTGTCCCCGGGTAACCAGTTGACCGTGGTAGATCTGCCGGACTATGGTAAAATTGGACTGGCTATCTGCTATGATATTCGCTTCCCAGAGGCCGGCATGATTGCGGCTCGGAAGGGCGCCTTCATGCTCGTCTACCCGGGCGCTTTCAACACCACCACCGGTCCGCTGCACTGGTCGCTGTTGGCTAGGGCTCGCGCCGTTGATAACCAGGTGTATGTGGCGTTGTGCAGTCCTGCTCGAGACATGAGCGCTTCGTACCACGCCTACGGTCACAGCTTGGTTGTGGATCCGAGCGCGAATGTGCTGGCCGAGACAGAGGAGAAGGAAGATATCATCTACGCGGACCTGGATAACGAGACCATCCAGAACACGAGGAAGGGTATTCCGATCTACACGCAGCGGCGATTCGATCTGTACTCGGACGTGAGTGCCGATAACAAATAGCCCTGCACCTTGCATTGAGTGCGACGAATATAAGCTGCGAGCCAGTCATAGCCTAGAATGTAACTGAACGACTTACGAACCTAGTCCGCGACCGTTGTAATGGAAAGAGCGCGATAGTACACAGTAAGAGTAGAGTAGGAGAGCATGTAAGCAAGCCTGAAGCGGGATCATTTGTTGCCTCAGGCAATGACATAGTTAGCTGCGGGAAGGTACTCACGTGCTGGTGAAATGGACGAATCAGAGTGCGCACAGGCGATAAGCGAGCCGCACTGGAAAACCCACCAGCACTGCGAAAAAACACCATCTCGAAATCTCCTCATCCTTGACAGTCGACGACCACTGCAGCCCACGACAGCCGACACTTCTGTCCCTCATTCAGTGAGTGAGATCTCTCCGCAGATTTGCTTGAACCTCTTATTCTCTCCGCGAGAATCATCCCATCCTAACATTATTACCTCAACCACAGAAATGTCCGCCCCCGTCAAGACCGGCAAGAAGACTCGCTCGGCCATCGCCGACGTTGTCACCCGCGAGTACACCATCAACATGCACAAGAGAGTACGTTGAACACAGCCAAAACATCTGCACTTGATATTCATCACAATTCGACTCTACCTGCGAGCGATTTCCGCGGAACCTCGAAAACATGGAGGCAATTGGACGGAGAACAAAATAAAAAAAGACAAAGCGGGAGTCCGAATCCTCGTTTCCTCCTCCCACCTCTACCACTCCCGAACTCGAGGATTACGAGTGAAGAAGGAGAGGTTTAGGGCGAGAGAGCCCACCGCACCTGTCTGAAAAATTACATGTGTGGAGGAACAATCAGGAACCAGATTGTTGAGGAAGATGAAGAAGAAGAAGAAAAACCCATAAAAAGAAGAATTAGTTTGATGAAGTCCACCTCTATGGCCGCATTTTCGCAAAGCAAAAAATTTCAAAATCACATCTACCAGATGGCATTCGGGCGGAAGACTAATATTCGTTCTTTTTTTGGGTATAGATGCACGGTGTTTCCTTCAAGAAGCGTGCTCCTCGTGCTATCAAGGAGATCCGCGCTTTCGCTACCCGTGCTATGGTTAGTTCTCCCTCTCCCCCCCCCCGGTACCCAAGTGCATATCACCTAATGCATATCTTTATCGAATAGGGTACCACCGACGTCCGTGTCGACCCCCAGCTCAACAAGAAGGTCTGGGAAGCCGGTGTCAAGGGCGTCCCCTACCGTCTCCGTGTCCGCATCTCCCGCAAGCGTAACGACGAGGAGGGCGCCAAGGAGAAGCTCTACTCCTACGTCCAGGCTGTCAACGTCAAGGATGTCAAGGGTCTTCACACCGCCGTTGTCGATGAGGAGTAAATTACTCTTCTCCTTCATCGCTTAAAAAAACAACAACATCATGTATCTTATTCCCCCTAAAAAAATGGAAGCCCTGATTCTTTGCAAGCTTGACGGGTTCTTTCCTTTTTTCCTTCATGATGGATGATGCAACGGGACGGGGTTCGGCTTTTTGGAAGAGATAATAAAAAAATTCCAAAATCTCCTTCCATTTTTTAGTACTATATCAGTAGAAGAAGTAAGGTTATTGATCGACAGTGTTATCGTAGTGGTAGTATCTAGATTGGAGTCTTGGTGGAGGACTGTGGGCTATCAGCTACCATGTCATGATTTTTCCTAAAGCATGGTTGTAGTTCGTGGTGGTAGTGGGTCACACACACACACACACACACACACAGACACATACCCTTATGCCGTAGTATCAGTCAACCGCAGTTGTACGGGCCATCCATCACTGAAGCAACTACAAATTTTCTACCCACTGTAAACGACACTATAAAGAAGAAATCCAGATGTGAAAGAATTTTTATTATAATTCTTAGATGAAATATAAACATGAACAAATGGCAATATTCGAACTTCAGAAGCACAATACCGTTTCGCAAAGGAATAATAATATGTTAATAATAAAAACCAGATTCTTCGAATTCCCCACTCGCTATGCTAAATGCGCCTGTTTTCTGGTTGGGCAGACAGAGAGTAAGAGTAACAAACGACGCTACCGAAGATGCAGCCGCAGCAATCAAGTTGCACGATGTGAAAGAAATAGAAAAAGAGAAACGTTTTTACTTACACAGGTTTTCGAAAAGTCGGGGAAGAAGGGATGACTGAGGTCTCTGAAGGGTAGAAGTGAAGGGAGAAGATGAAAAGAGACACCATTCTTCAGAGACAAGTTCCCGGTGGGATAATCAGAGGGAAGGAAAAACCACAAGATGTCCGTCTGTTTGTTCGGGCGGCAGACAGCCGATCATCTATGATCGGCCTGTCATAGATAAGAAAAGACAATAACATTAGCTGCAAGGCCGGATGATTCAATTCCAATGGACAAAAGGGAGAAGGGCGTTGACCTAAAACGGCGCAGGGTGGAGGGTCTTCTGATGCAGAAAAGGAAGTTGATATAAAACAGAAATCAAGCGAGAAAAAGCACACCATAATACATCGCCACTTAGACGCCTGCAAAGTCCATCAAGTAAATTCAGTCGCATATCCTATGTACCGCATCTAGTCGTAGAAATCAAAGTGTGCAGTACTCAATTCTTTGTTTCTTCCATGGATTTGCAGAGGCGCTCAGCATCCGCATTCGTTTTGACCCGCAGGGCCCACATCTGAGGAGGGCCTTCGGGTTGAGGGACAAGGAATTGGACGCTGTTCTTCGCCACGGAGTATCGAATCTCTTTCATCAAGCGCGTGTTCAGAATAACCTTGCCGCTCGGGTCTGCCCGGACGACAATCCGCCCACGAGAAGTGGTCCGATCCTTCAAAACGCGAAGGAATCCAACGCCTTGGCTCTCCCACCCTGCGCCGGTTGTATGTTTCATGGCACGGGCCCGGCTCTCCGTCACAAGATCTTCGTTTTCCTCGCCGGCGCCGCCCCGCGTGAGATCGACCTGAGGCAGGGACTCGGCGCCATCACCGTCTCCCGACTCTTCTGCTCCCGTGTCCGATGCACCTCCGGGGGTCGTGGAACGACTGGCAGCGGCAGAAGTAAGTGTGGAAGGAGCAAAGACAGACGGCGACGACTGCCCCGGCGTACCAAAGGTAAACCCAAGCGATGGTTGGGCGTCCTTAGAAGTAGATGATTTGTTTAGGGAAGGCGGTGCTCCGAACAGATTAGAGAATGGCTTGGGCGCCTCAGGTGCAGGTGTTGCCGAACCAGAGTCCGGCTTTGACGATGAAGCGCTGGCAGAGTCGCTGGCAAACTTAATCGGAGAATCGGGCTTCCAGGTGTTATCCCCTGTCGACTTAGTAGCGCTTTGGGCTGCATTAAAGATGGACGGGGTGCTGTTTCCCGAGCCAGACAAGGGTGTACCAAAGATGCTGCTGGTTGTGCTCGGTGCGCCAAAGAGGTTGGTCGTCGCGGGCTTCGCCGCAGCTTGGTTGGACTCGCCACTGCTGGCTGGGGTGAGGGAGGAGGGAGTGTTAAAGGGAGATGAGAAGTTGGAGGACCCGAAGAGACTCGAAACGTTACCCTTTTGCTCCTCTTCACCCTGGCGCTTGGGTTTTCCGTCCTCACCATACTGAACGCGATCGAAAAGGCTGCGACCACCAGCTTCGGGCTCCTTGGCTGGGGACTCGGCAGATTCAGACTTCTTGTCAGCTGAACCAGCATTATCCGTCGCATCGTCGGACTCGTCGCCAGGAGTAGAGGCTTCCTCGGTGTCATCCGCATCGTTGTCATTGTCGTTGTCTTCGGCCTCAGATGGAGTCGCCGACAGATGACCAAAAATATTGTTGGACTTGACTGCAGCGTTGTTTTGGCTTGAGAAGACAGTGCCAGCGCCGGGGGTGGTGGAAGAGGATTCCTCTGCCTTCTTTGCAGGAGACTCGTTGCTCTCATCTTCAAAAACGAAGCCTTTACCGGGGACGAACTTTGCGCGCTTCTGGGTTTGAGTCCCAAACTGCTCTTTCTTTTTCCGTTGCTCCTCAGCGTCACGGCGTTCCCACTCGGCTTCGTCTTCTTCCTCCGAGTCAAAGTCCTCGGCCTTGCGCTTCTCTTTCTCCTTCTCGGCATCCTCAAAAGACCGGGCCTTGAACTGGGCAAAGAAGTCTGTGCCACCTGCAGAGCCTGTGGAAGAGCCGTCACTGGAGGTAGGCTTCAATACAAAGGGGTTCTTAGGAGCGGTTCCAGGTGCGGCTGATGCTGAGGTAGCACTAGACATGGACGAGGAGAAAAGCGAGGTGGAAGCCGAACCCTTCGAAGTCGAATCTGAAACAGAGAACAGAGGTTTGGCGGGAGCCGTAGTTGGCGTAGTAGAGAACAGAGCGGGTTTAGTAGCTTCGGGGGTGGTCGGCTTGGTCACGGCAGGTTCAGGCTTGTCAGCCTCGGTCTTGGACTTCGAGAATGACTGAGCAAATATGTTTGCAGTGCTGGAGTCTCCGTTCGCGCGCTTAGCAGGGCTGTTGCCATCACCTTCATCGATTGACTTTCTCTTGGCATTTGCCGGAGAGGCCTGGCTTGTGCCAAACGCCTTGAACGGTGTGGAGCTTTGTGCAGTAGAGTTCTCCTTGGGCGTGTCAGCCTTATCGGTTGGGATATCAAAAGGCCGAGCTTTCTTAGTTGCAACAGCATCCTCATTTTCGCCTGATGCCTTGCGCTTTGAACCAACGGAAGCGCCAAGGGTGGCGCGAACACGCATGTAAAACTGAACAGCGGTGTCGAAGTTCTGACTCGAGGGGTCCAATTTAGCTAGTTCGCGCTGGAAGCACTCGTTCAGTGTGCGCATGCGATAAAGCATCTCAGCATCTTCGGAAGTTTTCTTAACCGTTGTCTTCTCTGCCAGTTTCGGAGTCTGCATCTGTCCAAAAGTAGACGGTGCGGTGTTTCCATTGGTGAAAACTGGAGGTGTAGACTTCGCACCATTGACCTTGACGGCACTATCAGCGGGAGCAACAGAAGTTGAAGCCACCGTTGCTTGAGTCTCCGTGGCGGGAGCCGGTGATGCTGCAGGTTTGGGTGAGAAAAGATTGGAGGTTTGGGAGAAACCACCACTTGAAGGGGTAAACGACACTGGACCAGGGGTGGCCTGCTTTTCCGGTTCGCTCGTCTTTGCTGCATCGTTGGGAGCACTTGGCTTGGAAAAAAGACCCTGGAAAGGTGTGGAAGAGGAAGGAAGGGGTTGCTGCTCGCCTGCAGGTTTGCTCGGAGTAGCCGGCTTCGCAAACAAGCCACCAAAGGGGTTTGCTGGCGCCTTCGTCTGTTCCGAGTCTGCAGTTGCAGGTGGCTTAGGCTCAAAGAGATTTTTCGTAGACGAAGTCTGGAACAAACCAGTCGAAGGAGCAGCCGGAGCTGGAGAGGCAGTGGCATCGCTCTTGGCAAACAGAGAGCCTGGTGTTGTAGTTGATGCAGAGAACTGGAATGGAGATTTAGGCTGCGACTCGGCAGGCTTTGGCTCTTCCTTCTTCTCTTCGATGGGCTTTTGCGATGTCGAGGGCGTGGTTTGGAAGAGGTTCGATGACTGGAAAGGATTCTGGAATGGCGTAGAGGGCTTCGCGGGCGAAGCAGCGCCGAATAATGAGGATGATGCCGGAGCAGCGGTGGTCGCAGCAGGCGCGGCGGGTGTCGAAGCAGAAGGGGTAGGGGTGGCAGCGCCGCCAAACAATGATGTTGAAGGGGTGGTTGCCTTGAAATCAAAGACGGGCTTGGAGGGGGTCTCTGCCGCCGACGAAGCAGATGCGCCAAACAATGAAGTGCTTCCAGCGCCCGCAAAGCTAGGCTGAGCCGGAGGAGCGCTACTAAAGATGGATGGTTTCTCCTGAGAACCGCTACCCTTTGCATCAGGGGAAGTTTGCATCGAGTCATCGCCACTAAAAGCTGAGGATTGACCGAATGGGGACGGCTTCTTCACGCTAGATTGCCCGAAGAGATTTGTTGACGGCGTACTAGAAGCAGCATTGTTTTGGCCGAATATGCTTCCTGAGGCGGGGGTAGCCGCACCAGAGGCAGAAGGGCCATTGTTTGTGCTGGCGCCGAAGAGGCCACCCGCGCTAGCGTTCGATTGAGATGATGTGCCAAATATTGAGCCTGAAGGCAAAGGCTGCTGAGCGGGGGATTGGCTTCCACCCGGAGGAATGTTAAACATTGAGCCCTGGAAGCCCGAGAAGCTGGCCGGTTTAGATGACTGGTCGGAAGTAGTAGTGTTCATACTGGCGAATGGGTTGCTAGCTGAGCTTGAACCGCCAAAGGATGAAGAGAAATTGAAGGAAGAAGAGGAGCTTCCACCCCCTCCAGAGCCAAAGGCAAATGGAGTGCCTCCGTTCTGGCTAGGTGCCGAACTAGCTCCTGGAAAACTTTGGTTCTGACTCTGGCCGAAAGTGAATCCGTTGGAGGCTGGTTGGGAACTAGCGGGTGTGGATGAGACTGTGTTAGGGTCGATGGAAGCGAAAGGGCCTCCGCCAAACGACGGCGCGGGAGCACTCGGGGCAGCACTGTTGGGACGACGCCTCCGAACGTCTTTGATTCTAATAACAGGGTTAGCAACGAGATTGTGATTGATTGACGTGCAAAGGAGACTGATGAGCGAGATGATAAGATGAGACATGAGGTGGAGTGGTATTAACGTGTGGAGAAGGCGAGGTTAAAAAAGAGAATACACAAGTAGGGAAAAATAAAAATCGAAAGTGACGGGAGATCAAAGTCAAGCCCTGTTTTCCAACACGCGTCCCAGTAACTTTGGAGGCTGCAGGACAAGTGAATGATTGCATGCATGAGATTGGCCGTAAAGGTCGGTCTACATCCACTTACTTTCTGTTCGCAAGCTGCGCCGCGGTTGCCCGCTGCGGCTTATCGTCCGGTGTGCTCGACATGTTGAATGCAAAGAGATCACTGTCCTTGTCCCCTTGAGGGCCCTGGGCCGATCTCTTAGACATCTATAGTTGAGCCCCCGATGTCTTCAGCGGCGAGATCCTCGATGTTTTTCAGACAGCAGTTGACTTCAGCCCCTTCTTGTGTGTCCGGTTTCACCCCTTAAGGACCGTGCGGCATGCACAGTGTACGATTATTCACTGCGTACAAATGATATCCGGGGACAGCAGTTGGCCTCTCGAGTCCGTCCGGTAGGATCTGTGCCCGTAGCTCCAAAGACTCCTAAAGGCACGTCGGTTGATATACGGGGTCTTTTAAACAAGTGGGTGTGAATGGATCCGCGAGTCAAGCGATCAACGTATTCCGCGCAGGTGTCGTATCGGCGAGTTATTTGGTCAAAAACTGTGAATTATCCAAACATCGACCTGTCCAGGAAGCGAGGGCAGGTTGTTGCGCGATCGTCTGGTGAATGAGTCGCGCAGCGCGAAACTAGCGAGGCCACGAGACCAAAACGGGATCAAGGGAGGAGGGGAAGGAAGTTGAAAGGCAGAGCAGTGAACGTTAGGTACTGCTAGTTGTAGTTATGAAGAGGCGCGGCTCCATTCGATGCGCTCTGCCTTGGTGAAGATGGGGGGATGTGCTCAAGTGAGCTTCTATTTTTTAGCCTTGAAGCGTCGGCTCGCGACTTTTGCCGGCAAAGAGGGAAGGTTGCTGGCAGAAAAAATTACGGTCACGTGATGACCATGCAAGGTGACATCTTGGCGGGATGACATAAAGGCGCTTTCGCTTTTTACGTGCCCCAGGCGAGGCGGCCATGACCCATGGTCGACCAGGATCTTGCTTAGCAAAGAGTCTTTCTACTAGGTTAGCCGGCGGCTATTCTCATGATGATGATGATGGGGCTCTGGCTCTGGTGGTTGAAAGAAAGATAGGGTTTCTCTCTTTTGTTCTGCAATCCCCATCCATGTCTTCCGCATTCTGTATTGTTACGAGAATTACGCATACACCCTGAAGAGCAGGGCGGCATGCCAAACGGTACCCTTACGGGGTATTGTGATTTCTTCCCACTTCGGGTCACCCGCAACCCTTTCACCTTCTGGTTTCCATGGCAAGTTCCCTCATTCTCGCATCTGCAGGGCGTGCCGTTTTCGCAGCACGGATAGCTGACACCTACATGTGGCTTTTCAATTAATACTTTCGATAGTCGGAGAGTGCCAATCTGATTGTCCGCTATACTTAGTTCACTAAATCTTCGGTGAGGGTACTACACAGTAGTAATAGTGGTAAGTAGAGTGCAGTGGCCGTAGCGACCACTGCTTCGGCAAATATATACTTCATCGGCATGACGTGACCACTCAGCGCAATTTGGATTTCAGCAAACGAGAAACCACCGTGATAAAAACCCGATAACGGAGGGTATATTGACGTGACGAAACACGGTCACAAAATCAAAATTTGCCCTTTCTCCGAAATTGCTTCTTTCCTCACACCAGTTGTGTTTCCTAATCCTATAGCTTTCATGATACTAGCAGCAACTGTTTGAAATGACGTCGCAGCATTCTTAAGCCTGCCCCTAGCACATACATAGTCCTTGACGAAATACACGAGCAGTGCCCAGTGACCTACAATGTAAATGATACCAACTGGTAAACGAAAAGAACACAATAACAGCAGTATTTCACTGTCGATGTTTCAACTGTAGCAAAAAATAACGAACAAAAATCGGGTATCTATAGCTTGGCCTTGCCCTGAGCCTTCTTCAGGACGGGCTCCATCTTGGTCGCCTTCATGATGTTGCCCTTAATCTTGAGCTTCCCACCCATGAAAAGTCTCTGAGCGTTGGCCTTCCCGCTTACGAGGGCAGTGAAGTCGGCATCCGAAAGGGAAAGAGTCACTGCAATCACATCGATGTCTCATCAGTATCGGGTAATTACCTGGTGCAGACGCTGATTAGACTCACCATCGGCCTTTCCTCCCTCGGGAGCAGCACCCTTGCCCACAACACCCTTGTCCTTGAGGTCGAGATACCAGCTCTCTTCTTGGCCCTTATCGTTCTTGATGTTGAAGGCGACCACCGCTTTAGCCTTGTTGATGGCCTCTTTGCGCTCGGCAGCATCAGCCTGTAGAGTCGAGTTGATGGCGTCGAAGGCGGCAGAAGAAGGGAAAGCGTCTGTAAGGGTATCACGAGGATCAGCCACAGCTCATGATTGGAATAGCGACCAGAGGACAGACGTACCGTTCTTGAAAGACATGGTGACTATGAGAGGAGATAGAGATGGTAAACAGACAATGAACGAAGAGGTAAGGGGTCAGTAAGTTTTGATGTAACCAGATAGTCAGACAGGCTGTCACCGAGGAGGGACCGGGAATTATATATTAATAGCAGCGCTGGACCCCGGGGTTGCTTATTATTGCGGCGAGAGCTTCCCCGGAGAGTTCGGGCGACGGAACATGTGAAATGGAGGCGGTCGCGGCACGCTTGGACCGAGGCTGTCCACTATTACTAGTTAGTAACTAGTCAGTCAGCCAGCCAGTTTCTCTCCTGTGATCAACAAAGTAGTACCACCACCACCTTCACCACCTTGATTGATCCCTTTGCTTCTTGCTTTACAGCCTGCATTACACTTCCCCCTTACTGCATGTGTCGGGAAAAAAAAAATAAATTCTACATAGAACCCTACGTCAGCGATGCAGATTAGCTGGTTCAATCGCACAAGCCAAACTGCTACAAAAAGCTATTTGCTTCCTGCCTTGGTCAATCCTGCTGATTAACTTTCAACGACTCAACACCTTTCTCGGTCTCGGAGATCTACATACATCTTTACTCCGTTACCGCTTCCCCATAAAGTCGTTTTAAGTAACCTGACCGAGGACCAATTTGCAAGTCGGATACTGATACCCACATGCAAGCGATTGTGTCTCGTGTGACTTGGCGCTCTCACACGCCCACCCATCATTGTCCGCGGGATCGCCAAAAATGATCTCATTTTTTCCGCCTCAGGCAGTGTACTCACTTTGCAATACCAGGGTCTCTACACAGTATACACCTTGAGACGCAAATATAATCATTCGGTTCCTAAACCAACTAACCTCTAACCCGTATCATTTTACCAAATTCGACACGGTAACTCTCACTGATCGCCGCAACACAAAGGCGTCCAGACATCGCCTTTCGTGGCTCAACTTCATGCACACATAACCGAGTTACGCTTCTTGCGCCGCACAGTGAGCTTTGTGGTCACAGGTGGCAGCTGGAAACGGCCCCATCCTATATGATTATTGGTCAACACTGTCTCCTGCTTATAATGAATACCTATCAGCGAAACTTACTGTGAATTTTAGGACGCACTAAGATAGGCTGAATGTCATAGTTTAGTAGCATCTCCGCGATGAACACCTTGAAAATGTGGGCGAAGATAAAGCGTCCAGGGCACTGCCGACGACCGTGACCGAATACCACATACTCATCGCTGGGTGTGGTCAACGAACTCTGACGTCTTTCGCTTTCAGATGCATTCTCGGTGTAAAATCGATAGGGATTGTATCTATCCGCCTCCGGATAGATTTCCTCATCCCGGTGGAGGGCATACTGGGGGATCCCAACCTTTGTCCCGCAAGGCAGGAAAAGACCGTTCGCAAGAGTGACACCATTGGGGGCGACAACCTGCATTGTGAGTGAGACCACGAAGTGAGAAAGGGGAAAGTAAGAATTTCGTGCATACCTTTCTCGTCGGGCTGGCAGCGTTAATGCCGTTCAAGCGGAGGCTCTCTTTCACAGCACTATCCAGCAGTGCAGCCCTTCCCAGGTCCCCTGCCGTCCAGTCCCCACTCGAACTACCAGCAATGCTCTCAACTTCTGCTCTGAGATAATTGACAAGATTTTCATCAACCGGATCACTCAGAATATCTAGAAGAACACTTGTAGCAGACACTGCAGTCGTGTGTACGCCCGGGAAATTGATCATGAAGATTCTGTATGATAGCCACATGGACGTGGCTTCCATCGGCCATTTGCTCCGAAGTCCGGCCCGAATGAGCAGGTCCAGCAAGCTATCCTGAGGGAAAGTCAGTACAAAATCGAAGACTGTGGGCAAGGTACTCACCATAGACTTCAGTGTTTCCTCTTGGGCTTCGGAATCCGTCTGCTTTTGCTGGTCTTTGATCTTGGACTCAATAATAGGCTTCATGCGCTTGTGGAAAATCACCTCGAAGTATCTATTGACCATCCCTACAATGGGCCCAATGACCCTGAGAGAAGATTAGACCCCCGGTGGATACGATTAGTGTGGATATACGTACGGGTGAAGGAAAGACGGAAACGCTTTTATGATACTGGCCCCAAAGACGATGGCGTCCGAGCAATGTGCCATGGCATTCAAAAGAGTCTCGTCATCGCTATGGCCTGGTCCAATCGCAAGCACATTGATCATCCGTGACGCCATCTTCTCCATGGCACAGTACAAGTTGATCTCGACCCATTTGTCGGAATCTTCGCCCCAGAGGTCTTTCAGACATGATCGGGCTTCCTCAGCCAGTGACCTTGCAACCGTGTCCGTCTTGAGGGTTTCCGTCAGGTCTTTACTTATGAGCTTGACATAGAAGTCATATTTATTGGCAAAGGCCAGCGGCCAGCTGGTGTACTTCAGTTGAAAAAAGTCAGTAATATAGGCTTTGAAGCTGTATTCATTTTCTTTCGAAAACAGGACGTGTTTGGCCAGGTCTTTTGGAAGAAGAACTTCATCGCCCTCAGCGACGCTGGGCAGCACGAATGGTTTCTGATGTTTGGAGTACTAGATAACGATGATATCAGCAAGAAAGACATGCTTCATAGGCGTGCCACCAACCTTCTGATAACCCTCGCGAATGAAGCTTATAGGGTTGACGCCAACGAAACGCTCCACAGCACGACCTAGGAGACTCCTCCTGTTCAAAGCCCGAGGAATGTCATTGGGAACCGGCGAAGTCTCGAAGAGTTTCACGACAAGACACAAGCCAACGCCTACGATAACTATCACGACCCAGGAGGCGATACTGATTCCCAGAAACATGTCTCCTCGTTTGGGATGTGTAATCGATCCTTTAGACTAAGATGAAAATGCACATTTACCGGATTGGATTGGTCGATACTATAGAGTGATCGCTACGTACAGGCACACCCTTTATGTACTCACAAAAGTAAGACAACTCTATGGATTTTGACACCATCATCGGCTGCTTCCAGGATTTATGCTATCGATCAATGTATGGAGCTCTGGAGAGAGCAGGTATATTCAGTTACGACAAGGCCAACCGACCTTGGCACCGGAGGGCCCCGGTCCATCGACCCTAGGTTGCTCACAACATAGCAATGCCTGGATAAAAGATACCGACCAATGAAATGCTGGACTGGCTGAACTTTTCGAGCTACCATGACTAGGGAAACTATAATCGTCAAGTTTATGGGGAGAGATGGTACCTCTGTCAAACTGAAGTGATTCAGCCTGCACGCTGAATGCCACATCTTGACAGGCAGAGGCCAATCCTAAAGTCGTGAATGATGAATCGCCGGGTCACTGCACAAGACCTCTAACCATTCTGAAATCTTCGGATTGCAAAATCAAAGACCAATTGTGCATTGTCAATATAGATCCACCTGCCATGAGAGAGAAAACCTTAATGCGTCACATATCTGGCGTGTCCCCGCAAAGAAGATGACCGACCCATTGTAGCAAAGATTAAGGCATCCCACATCCATATGTGACTACCCATTCGTCTCTACAGCAGGATCCACTGCACCATGTGGTGATCACGATCATAATCGGGAGCAACCGAGATAATTGGCCCTGTGAGCCCCTTGCCCAGTGTGTATTAGTTCGGGCCTGGAGGATACGGGACGGTAAGGGCCACTCGGCCGGAGAGCAGAACTGCTAGCCTTTAGTCTTTTCACTTTGCCTAATCTCCGAGAACTACTAGACTACCCCAGAACCCATGCCTGTTAGTCCGATTTCGAAATGCAACCTAGCACCAAGCGAACGTGATTGAAACCTAGGACACGCGAGTCTGATACTAAGATAATTTAGAGACGTCGCCTTTCGCCGTGCTGTTGATGGTTTTGATTCGCGCATAATGTCTGTGCAGAACTTCCTGCTGCGGTCTGAGCTGTTTAGCTTGACAAGGATACCGGCTTTATTCTGACATGGGCTGCATATAGCATGCGTATAGGATCGCTGCGGCGCACTGCCTTGGGACGACCGACTATGTCCGAAGGCGCTTCTTGTTTAACTCATGCTTTTGACTGTAGCGGGATTTGTCCAGTTTGTTTCGTCTCAAGGCTCAGACGATGTTCCTAAGATAGTAACTACTTTCGTGCAAGACTGTATGATGATGGATGATACCCTGCCGAGAAATCCACTGTAGTCAGGCGCTATCTGATCTGATCCTTTGCTATCTCTGCTGTCTACGTGGCCTATCTTACTACTGCCAGCACTGTCTTCAGATCTAGCTATACCTTTTACATACAAGCGAATAAGTCCCTGCTCATGTCATGGGATATTCAAAGGCACTATTGAGGCAATTAGGTTACTGAGGTCAGTCAGGAGTAGACACTGCCAAAATCTTGTTGACAGCCCTTTTTGGCTGCATTACAATCCAGTTTGCTTTCGTACTTGGTCATTTCTTCTAGGTTTGTCTCAAGCTCATGGTGTAAGCCTGCAGAAAAAGTTCGATGGACGGATAACAGCGAGACATAGAGATCATTACTCCTGCCCTTCGTATCCGTAAGGAAACTTCCCTAAAGATAGGCAGAACTACAGGATGAGAAGTTTCCAGCCTCACTCACTGTCTTTCCCTTTAACTTCCCACCACAAGAAGTAGGATGGATTAGGTAGATTCCACGTCGCCTTGACTATGCTGTCTCAGAACCTTTAAATCCACGGTCCTGCTCGCTGAGACAATCTCTTTCCAGTCTCATCCTTTTCATCGTGGCCCTACAGAGCAGACAGTTGTTGCATCCCAAGAACAGCTCGTTAACTGACCCGATCGCCTGACGCTGTTCTACAGCACGACGCATAAACATGACCCTTGAAGTGGTAGTGATTGTCTTTTTGCTTCTTGGTTTGGTCTGGTGGTTCATTCAGTCGACTTTGTTCGACACTTTCAGGTCGGATTAGATATGTCTCCATCAATCTGACATACACTTCCATATAGACAAGGAACATATATGTGAAGTTTTGAGTCATCTGCCTACCTAGTATGATCTGCTGGTGCCAACAAC